ACTCACTTGCATTTACCAAGTGTTAGGAATCCCAGTTCCCTGGCATCGCTGGACTTACTATCAAGATGGAAAGGAGCTGGCATGATCGTGACTGCCGTAGCTCACAAGCTTCATTTTTAGAACCCCAAGGCATATACTAATATCCTTTCATTTTAAGTCATATTTCTAAGATTATTTAAGAGTAAAGTTGTCAAGAGAATTCCAACTTTCCCCCAAATTGGCTTGGCAGTAAATTCAATAAATCCCCTTCCAAATAATTTTATGTTATATTTCCAGTCACCATTTTAGATGTCGATTAAGCTTTTAAAGTCTTCGGTGCTTACCTAAATCTTCACTTAGCTTCAGACCTCTCCTAGTTCAATCATGTTTAATAGGCCTCAGGCCCATTAAATATAATTGTAACCATGTAGCCTCTGCCTAACAGTAAGTGGGACAGAATGGATGCCACACACTTTAATATTCACAAAGTCTGGCCTAGGCTGGCTTTTTACTGGAAGACTGTGTCCAGCTCTGGGCTCGAAATGCAGAGAGTTGAGGAGAGTTTAGAAAGAGTTCACCAAAACCCTTAGTGGTTCTGGAAATGGGTATGAGAGGTAGAAAATAGCAGCATGGAATTGTACTCTGATAGGTGAAAAACAACTTTTATTGATGAGAGTAAGTAAAGATTTATTGTCAGAGAATTTCTAGTCCAATCTGGCATAAGGAACTATTTTTTTTTAATCTGAAGTTATTAGACTTGAACCTGAAGACCGGATGTAATTATTTATCTCTGAGGTGCATAGAGTGGGGCCAGTCTCGGGGAGATGAGATGATTTATGTCCTTGGGTAACAGTGTGAGACTGGGCGAGCAGTATTTTCTAAGTGTTTTCTTCTCCTAACTGGAGTTCTAATTCTGTGTATTAATCAGTTTTCTGTTGCTGTGAGTAGAGATTCCCTTTCTTCCGTGGCTTTAAGGTGACTGTTCAGCCTTGTTGAATTGGGCCTGAGGTAAGGTAAGACATCATAGTAAGGACTTATCTCCTGATATCTGAGCATTACCCAAATAACCCTACTTCCTTCCAGGAGGTTCTGTTTCTGCAAGGTTCCATTATATCTCAGCAGTGCCAAAGACTAACGGTCAAGATCTGAGTATGCTGGGCTATTTAGAGACATTTAACATCCAAACCATAACATACCTATAGCCAAATATACAGTCTTATGTCTGCTTAAAGACAATGTTCAAGAAAATCCACATGAGATGGAGTAAATTACAAAAGGCAGCTCTGTCATTCATTGCTACATTAAGATGCTTTATGTGTGACTCCTGAAAAGCCGTAAGGACCGCACCAGTTGACTGTAGGTTAAAGAAGAAAAGGTAACTGCATTCACTGTAAGAACAGAAAATGGCACTCTCAGATATGACCTCAGAGAAACTTGCTAAGCTCAGTTAGAAGAAGAACTGAAAATACAGGAAGAAAAGCAGTTTCATTCAAAAGTGTCTCAAGTTTCTGGCTGGAGGAGACCTAGAAAAAAGGTGACATTTGTCTTTGACGACTCCCTAAACCCAGGTCTGCGCCTGGGGTGTTGCTCTCACCTGACGGCTCGGAGGAGTTATTCCTGAACTCAGGTTCGCTGGTTCTCCTCCGTCTTCAACAGGCACGTTTACCCTTAGACTTTTGTATTCCTGTAATTTGGGGTTAAACTGATTTGCTGATCAATGCCAAGGGTAATCTGTTTCATAGAGCATCTGCTGGGGGAAATGGTAGTTTATTTGCTGGGAAAAACTGAGGGCATGGTTTGTTGATATGGGAGTCGATCAGTCAGGTGCGTATTTTCTCTGTGAGGTTAGAAAATGAAACAACCACTGAACAAATGAAACAACTGGACAGACACGGTAGAATAACCGTGTTCTACTGTTTCATTCTGACGTATGGCAGCATGAAGCCTGCATATATATGCCAAAATCCGAAATCAAGCTGTTCTTTTAGATAATCTTTCAGAGTTTTCTGTTTGTGCTAATACATATAATGGTAAATAATAGTAGAACAAAAACTACGCCTTTTATTTAGTGATGGTTGCAACTCACTAATATCACAGTGAAAAAAGTTTTGATCTGGTCTTAAAGACAGCTTTTTGCCCTGTAAACACTGTAAGCCAGGTTAGCCAGGTACACGGCATATAGTTCAGGACAGCTGGAGCTTCTTTTATTTATTCATTTATTTACTGACCATAAAGAATCATTTGCAGGGATTTGGATCTTAAACGGAATTAATGCTATATGATTCTAAGATCCTCCAATCATTTTATGTGCTGTTTCAGGGAACTGAAGAGAATCTTTTGGATTTTTCTCCCCAGTATTGAAAGCTGCATCATTTTTTGTTTGCTTAAGCCTACTGCCTTTAAGGACCAGAAGAAGCTGCTGTTTTCCTCCTAGGGAGTGCATATCAGGTAGACATATGGTTGTTGTCTACCTAAGGATCGTTGCATAGGACAGAAATTTCCAGGACAACTGTGAGCACGAAGTGGCTATGGGGCTTGTAATGAATCTTAAGTGAGGTATGCAAAGGCTGAGCTCTAGAATACATCAATTAACAATGATCATTAATATTATTTTTGTGCCTTTTAAGGCGTATTTGTGCTAAATCATTTGGTCATTGAACTAGCCCGTGGAGTGGGAAAGCTGCACGATATCATATCTGTCTGATATGTGATAAATGAAACTTGGATATGTCTCTTATCCAGGATTTTATGACTAATAAAGACTTGTAGCCAAGTTTGACAGAGTTTATGGTTCTCTCATTATTTGTTTGTTTGAGGAATCTGACTTCAAGGCTTTTCCTCAGTAAATCCAGATACTGAGATACTGAAATGTCTTAAATTTAGGGCTTTTGCAATAGAATCTATCACTTGTTCTAAACGTGGTTCACATACACAGATGCCATGACTATACACAGCTGCCTTTTGTAAAGAAGGATGAAGACAGAGACAGCTGATACCTCCAAGGTGACACAGCTCCGTGTAAGATGCTACTCACCCCTAACTTACCTCCAACGGCACTTATGACCACAAGAAGGAGCAAGGTCAACAAGGGGAATAGGGAGTTAGTGGTTGGAAAGGCTCTTAAGAGCAAGCTTCCTAGATCACCACTAAATCCCTGCCTGGGGTATCAAACATAGTTTCTCATCTGCTAAAGTAAGCAGCCTAGACAAGCTTGCCTAAGTACTGGCTTTGCCTGCTCGCAAGAACCGAGAGTCTAGTCTGTGCAATGGAAAGCCAATGTTCAAGGCTAGGGGCAGGCTATAGGGAAAACATTGGCTCTGGAGTCAGAACTGTCTGACTTTGCGTTTGGAATCCACCGTCTCTAGTAGAATAATGCCACAAAAACCACTTCACCTCTCTCACACTCTTCTTTTGTGTAAGATCTATATTTAGCATTCAAGAAATACCAGTTGCTGTGTGAGTTTCAAATGAGAGCTCCAGAGAGCAGGGACATAGCCGTACTATGTTATAAAGCAGTAACGTTTGAATATCTCGGATAGTTAATGTCCGGAAGTTTGAAGGAGCTTATGAGTGAAGCTGGACAGTATTCTATCAGGAAGCAAATCTGGGAGTGTAATGGAAATGGCTGCTATTATAAACAAGGTATGGACTGAAAATGGCAATTAACTCATTTACACATTGAAAAGACTTAGTCATTGCATTCACAAACATTTATTTGTAAGCTATAAGCATGTGCAAATCATTTGTACCTCTTACTCAACTACATAGAAGTTAATAGTTACTGAGGTGACATATTTGAAGATGATTTTAAAATGCAATGCACTTTAATGGTTAAGGATCAAATTATAATGCTGTGCTCTTACCAGAAATAACTTACTTATTCCCATTTTCTGTATGTAGGCACAATTATAAATATTTTATGAAAAAGTTTCTTTCTTTTTGTATGTTTCTCTAATTAGGATGATGCCAGAGAAGCCAAAACTATTTTATTCTGACATTCCTGGAACAGATCATTCACAACTTACAAATAGATTATTTTTCCTTTAGTCAAACTTCTTTTTGTCCTCTTTTGTTTATTGACACACACACGCACACACAAATCTGAGATTTTCAGGGTTACAAATTAATGACCTCTCCTGGTCTACTTATACATTCAGGGGCTGCCATTAAATGTAAGATGAAAATCACTCCAGTCAGTAAGTAAGCAATATTTGTGTATTACAGTCCGTAGTTCTTTATCGAGACTAATAATGCAGTTTTGCTTTTTACAGGAAATGAAAACTAAAACCTTGACAAATGGATGCAACCATTCGGAATGGCTCTCAAATGGGCAGTACTGAAAATTGATCTGGTTCCCTGTCAATTGCATTAGTCAGAGATGACATCAGCAACAAGGCTGCAGCCAATGCTGGCATGTTGCCCGTTCCATCCCATAAATAAAATCACATTCTGCAAAAACATAATAATCTCCTGGGCTGCAACTTGAGCCTTAAAACCTAATTAAGCAACTTCTTCCCAGCTTCATCAATAAGGCCTGAGCCAGGTTCCACATAAGCACACAGAAAGCAACGCTAGTAAAACATGGCACACCACGTGATGAGCAGTGTGTCAGTTTAGAACAATGGTTCTCAACCTGTGGGCCTCAACCCCTTTGATAGGAAGATTCTTTCATAGGGGTCTCCTAAAATCATCATAAAACACAGATATTTATGTTATGATTTATAACCGTAGTAAAATCACAGTTTTGAAGTGTAAAATAATGAAAATGAAAATAATTTTATGGTTGTGGTGACCACAACATGAAGAACTCTATTTAAGGGTCACAGCATTAGAAAGGTTGAGAACCGCTGGTCTAGAAGAAGGTAGGCTGTTGGTTGAGACCATTTATATACTATTGATTCCTGATTTTGTTTATTATCCCTTTCAGCTAACTGAAACTTACTGTGAATGCCGTGTTCTTTGGACAGTATTAGACAGCCTGATCCCATCGCATCGATAGGAAAGGCATCATGCCTCCTTACCTGGGGTGTTGTGCTCATTGAGAATCACGAGGGAGGCTGGTGTCGGTCTTCTTTTCCTGATCTGAAAACAACAAAGGCCCAGCTAATGTCAGTGCAAGAATCAGACACTACCCTCCATTGGCTCTACAGCTTACAAAACTGCACACCCTCTTTTTCCCTAACACATGCAAACTGCCAGAAGGGACACAGTGTATGTTCACTGTGTTGAACACAGAAAGCTAGCTAGAACTGCCAGATATTACTAACCCTTTCTTTGGCCACAAAGCTACGTTTCCAAAGGAAAAAAAAATAGTTGAATATCATAAAGACAAGCAACTGAAATTATCATACTGTAAAATCCGTTGATGGCTTGCTAATCTACGTGTCTGTGGCTAAGCCTCATGACACTGGCAATGATGTCAGCGTCTCTTGCCCTCATGTAAAGGGGTAAAAGGAACTCAGGAGCCTCAGATCTCTACAGTGTGCTCTAATTCAATCGGCAATGTGAGCCTCAGGTTTCAATTACTACGGTGGACTTTACTTCTAGTTTAATATTCAGATCAAACTGGCAGACCTTACCAAACATGCAGATCTTACAAGACTGTGTGTTTCAATTCCTTCAGGCATGCTAGCTGGACTCAGTGGGTTGCAAAGAATAAAAGGGAGAGAACCTGAAGTGAGAGGGAATGATAATAGGTGTCAACAGAATGGGAGAGGAGGTGGATGAGATATGATGAAGATATAGATGTGTGTGAAACTGTAAATAGATAAGTAAAAGTTACTCAAGAGTGTAGCAAAAAAAAAAAAAACAACACTTTATTTAAATTAAGATTTGGTGGATTTACTCTCTTCTTAAAGGACCTTCAGGAGCATATTGTTATTAGACTTTCTTGCTTCAGATAGCTTTTATCCATTCAGTGTATTGGTTCAGTTAAATTCCCAGACTATTTGTCAATAGGTTAAAGGATAAAGTGGACGAACAATGTTCAAAATGGAAGCAATGCTCAGGTCAGTGAACAGACACTGTCAAGACTGTATTTTCCTGGCCTGAATCTGGGTGGCCTGCTGGCAAAGCATCATACAGAGTAAGACTCGAGAATCATGCTGGTTTTAAGACTTTGCATCAGGAAGTTTTATAGAAGAAGTTGGAAGGATAGAAGGACACGAAAGGGGACAGGAGCTCCACAAGGAGACAAACAAATGAAACAAATCTGGGCCCAGGGAGGTCCTTCAGAGACTGATGCATCAACCAAGGACCATTGGCCCATGGGCAGCTCAGTCTCCATATGGGTTCCCTAGTAAGTGGATACTGGCTGTATCTGTCATGGACTCAGTTGTCTGCTCTTTGATCACCTCCCCCTGGCACGACAACCTTGCCAGGCCACAGAGGAAGAGGATACAGGCATTCCTGTTGAGATTTGATAGGCTAGGGACAGATAGTAGGGGAGGAGGACTCCCCGTTTCAGTGGACTAGAAGAGGGGAATAGGGAGAGAGGGAGGAAGGGCAGAACTGGGAGGAGATTAGAGAGGGGAGCTATAATCAAGTATAAAATGAATAAATTGTAAAAAAATGTACATCTATATAGATAGATTGAGAGAAAGAGAGAGAGAGAGAGAGAGAGAGAGAAAGACTTTGCATCAGGTATTTGGAAAAGGATTCAGGGATCTTCTGGGCTTTAAGTAATTAATGAATTAGATCGAGATTCTCATAACTTCTTTAGCTTATTCCTGAACTACTCCACATTTGTTTTTGTGCCACAGAACATCTTTCAAGTGGGTCCATTGCACCCAGAATCTAAATAAATATGAACAGTTAGAAACCAATACCAGACATAAAAAAGAAATCTGGGAAAAGGTAGAGTGGCATTTCTCATAGTCGATGCTCATATATAACGGGCAATAGATACAAAAAAAATACGGTTTAGGATGCATAATGAAACCAGGTTAAAAACATGAAGCCTGTAATAATAAATTAGCCTGGAATTTAGTACTTTAACTTTTACATTTCTTTTTTTTTTAGTAAACAACAAAATAAAAGATTGCTAATTTTTTTTTGTTAAAGTTTTCAAAGCTTCTCTAAATGTTGAAACTTACTTTAAGAAGCAAAAGCCAGCACATCTGGCTCTAGCCCAGAATGTCTAATTCATTGGTGTTAATTTTATATAGAATGAAGTGCTGCTAACATTTTAGCCAATTGTCCCCAGGTGCAACCCAAACACAAGTGTAAAAGGAAACTCATTTCTCCTGCTAAAAGTAACAAAATTGGGCAAATGTAGAACGCAAGGGACCGTTCCCCTAGAAGGCATGCATGCCCACACTCCCCAGTCCCTGGGAACTGCACCCACCCACTCCTCCTTACCTGCTCTGCGGCCTCAGGGGCAATCTGACTCTGGAATAAGGGCACAGCAAACTGTATCTTTTTGGGGCTGTTGGGCTCCATGCTAACGATGAGAACGGGACAGAGCTTGAAGTGCTCAAAAAGACACAGCCCAAGTGGAATCCAGAGTGTTTCCCGAGGCTCCCTCCACCAAGCCACACACAGTGCTTCGCAGTAAATCTCTGTAATTCCAGCGTGAGCAAATGAAGATGTCGAGGTTCGAGCAGCTCCCTTCTTCAACATCCAGTGATGCCTGGCTGGCCTGATCCTCCACCAACCCTTTGGATCCTCCCAACACAATATGGAAAGGAAGAATAAGCTAATTGTGTCCCTGCTCGCTAATACGCACGCCAAGCTTTCACTCAGCGGCTAATTGAAATTGCAATGTTAGCCTTGAAGGACCCGCTGCCCTGGGATTTAAAGGAAAGGCTCTATCCACTGTGCATTACTAACCGGCTGCTCAAAAGTGCAGTGTAAGCTCCCGCTGAGCATTACAGGGATGGGTCATTCATTATTGATGAACAGCAAGCAGGAAGTTTTTAGAGTTGGGGGCAGGGTCTGGGTGTAGCATCATGTCATTTCTTTGTAGCAGCTTACAAGCTGGAGACACCTCTGCTGTCTCACACTCAACCACCACCACATCGATGAACGGCTATTGACAGTAAGCCACAACTAATAATATCAGCTGTGTTTGTGCTTCAAGATCCGGGTAGGTTAGCACTGTCCCAGGGCTACGAAGATCTTAGTTCAAGTTCCACTGTTAATAAGCTCTGTGGCCTCAGGCAAATCATAGCATATGTCTAGGCCCCTGCACTTTCAATGGAAAAAATGGTGGGGGGGGGTAGATTAGATGACCTTTAAGCTCCCATTCTGTTCTAACATTCTATAATTGTAGCTCATGGTTTTCACTTGAGTGGAAACTATCGAGCAGCTAAATTTAGCAGGCAGCTTGGAAGTCACTGCTGTTTCAATGGCCTTTATTTTAGATCCTGATGGAGCCAGTTACATCCTCTGACTTGGAAGAATCCAGAAATGAGTGGAAAACATTAGTGGAAACCCAATGATGTCTGATGTCAATTATGGAGTTGTTTGCAAAGATGAAGATTTGAGGAATAACCTAAGAAGGACCATCTTCAGACAAGGCATGAGTCAAGCAGCTGTGTTCACTACACTGGCCTGCCTGATCACCTCAAGTAATCTCAAACCAAAGACAGCTATCCCCAGACAGCCTGCGCCCACATTGTTCCTGCTTATTGAAGAAAGCCTGACAAATGAGCCTGCCTCAATGGAAGAATGAACTTGAGTCCTCTAGTCTTCCATTTTAAAGGTGTTATTTGATGGCTACTATATTTTAGGTTCATTAAATGCATTTTGACACAATTGGAGTTAAGTCCCCTACGTGCCAAAGGTCTCTTTCTATAACAGAAATACACCCCAGTGATTTAATTTTACACTGTTCCTATGAAAGTATATAGAGAGTGATATGCATTACTCAAGTAGTTTTCTATATATGCCAGAGGAAAAAGCAAATGGAGATACTGATGGGAAAGCAATTTTGGGTGAGAATAATGCTGGCCAGCAAGAAATCTTGTGAAGAATCCATCTCCACAGAGAGAAAGGAAACTTACCACTCAAAATATTCTTAGGCAGAAACAACAGAAGACCCTAGAAAGAAACCCTTCATAGATCAATATTAACGACAGAGTTATTTCCCTGAATGTTGGGTAAATGGAAAGGCAAATGATCGTTTTAGTGAGAAATTAGCTCAGAACTCTTCTCAGCCCAGTCAGTAAGAACTTGCACTCGGTAGCCTCAAACTAATATGGCCCCACTGCTACTTACCAAGCTGAACAACTCAGGCCGTGAGAGAATGTTTTTGTTTTCCCTGTGAGGTTTAGGTGAGCGAGCTCCTCACAAAGGCTCAAGGCTCATGAGACCTCATAGGGTCATAAGGTCAGCCTCTAGCCATGCTGTAGCAGATAGCAATTATGTATTTACTAGATTGCTCAAAGATCGTAATGGTACACATTTTTCACATGAATTAGTAAAAATCTCTATCTATTGGAAGATTTGATGCCAATAAGAGGGAGAGAAGACAAAGCGAAATTCTGTGTGTGTATTGTACGATGAAGACCACAAAGTGTGTATACATGTTCATATGTATATGGGCAGATTGTATGTGTTTGTGGGTCTATATGAACATGCATACATATGTGCATACGTTGCATGGGAAGTCCAGAAGTGGCATAGGGGTCTTTCCAGATCATGATCCACTTTCTATATGGAGGCAGTCTTCCACTTGAGCGTGACGCACAGTGATTCAGCTCACCTCATTAGCCAGCCTGCTCCAGGGGTCCCCATCTTTGCATTCCATGCTCTGAGAGTACAGGCCCACCGTCACACCCATGAGACATTTACAGAGGTGATGGGGATCTGAACTCCAGTCCTCAGGATTGCTCAGCAAGTGCTTTACCTGAGGAGGCAGCATCCTTTTTTAATAGTTTGACCAGAGATAGTATCTTAAAGGAGCTTCCTGGACCTCTTAAGACTGTTATTTTTCATCATTCCGAGCAGCCTCTGTGCATCTGTCAGGACTCAGCTGAGTGCCATTGCTTTTAGGAAAATGTTATAGATTTGTTTCTACCCAAACAGGGGTTGTCGGGGCATGGGGACAGGGGTCAAGCCATCTCTTCTGTCAACACAGGCCACCCTGTACACCTCCACTTAGTACAACAGCCACCTGTCTCTCTATTAATTATTGAACATTTGGAAAACCTATTCACACACTGTTCTAATGCACTTATTGCCAGGCTTTTTGCTGTGGCTTTAGCAGAGAGACTGTGTTAAAGGTTCTCATTTGAAATCCTTTTAAAGCTAAATTGCTGGGTGTGGAGACACGGCGAAACAGGTATAAGAACATAGAACTGGGTTTCCAGAACCAACGTGGTAGCTTACAGCCATCTGTAATTCCAGTTCCAGAGGATTCGATGCCCTCTTTTAGCCTCTGCCAGTACTGTAAGCAAGAGCTACTCAGGCTTACATGCAGGCGCATGTATGATTCACAGTTTAACAATTTAGATTTAAAGATTTCTTTATTTTATTTCACATGTATGGTTTTTTGCCTGCTCAAAAAAATTCAATATGATGTTTAAACATCACTAAAGTATACACACAAGCCATTGCCTCTGGATTAACAACAACAACAATAACATTATTATTATTGTTATTAATAATAACATTATTTTTGTTATTATTGTAAGAGATAATAATGACCCTTGTGTCTAGCTACTTTACCCATGTACTGTTCTAAGTGCAATACTGGTACTAACACTGGTATTACTTTGTTTAATACTGACACTGGCCATTGCAATTTATCCTATTGCCATCTGAGCCCCCCCTTTCAAATGAGAAAACTGTAAAACAAAGAGTTGAGGTGTTTTCTTAAGTTCTTCCAGTTAATGAATGGCGGATAGTTGTCAAACCCAGGCACTTTTGTCCAGGCCCAAGCTGTTTATCATGAAGCTGCCTCTGTGGCTAGTCTAACTCAAAGGCCTTTACGACAGTTGGTAGAGGCCCCAGAACCTCCACAGCCACCGTTTATTCTTATCCACTATCTCTGTGGCATGTGAGTAGGAGAAGAGAGTGGCAGGATGGCAGGGTATTGATCACTGTAAAGGTCATCTAGAGGGTTGGGCATTGTGCCCCAAGCTGACTTGGAGGCAAATTTCATTCTTTCTCTTTTAAAATAAGGACCGATTTCATAGAGATTTGAAAAATATCTAATGTAATAAAAATAACCCTCTAGTCTATTCAAAGTAATTATTACTTTAAGTATAGATGACGAAGCATGGCCCTAACTCATTTCACGCCACGCTATTCTCCTTACCTGCTTTCCACAGTTCCTTAGATCCTCATATTGGCCACATCACTGGTCATACATGCCCTCTCCTATGGTCCCTGGACAACTTCCTAGTCTGCCTTCTGTATATGTATCAACTCAGAATCATCCTCCAACGCTACCTACTCTGAGCGGGATCTTCAGAATCACAAAGTGAATGGAATCACTCAATTTACTTTCTCTGCTTGCACCTAATTGTTACAGTTTTATGTTACTGTGTGATTTTCCCCTTGTCCATGTATACACATATACACCCTACATTAAAACACAAACAGAATCAAGATGTTGGTTTCCTCATTACATAAAGGCAGTCAGGCTCCACCTTTGCTATAATGTAGGTAAATATAAAATATTTCAACCAAATGAATTCTTGCAAAGACATCAGTCCCTCTTCTAAGTATCATGTTTTATAATTTTTACACTTAATGGCAACTTAAATATATTTAAAATATCATGGCTTTTTAAAAAGAGAGCCATCAGCCATAATTTAGCCCGTGTTACTGTCTTCTAGCCATGCATATTAATACTGACATACTGTCGCATTCAAAGTTGACCCTGAAGCTGTTATAATTTCTTGCTATCCTGACTGCTTTCCAAATACCACAAATATGTAGTGGCTATGGGCAGCCATCTATAGTTTGTTACCTGATGTATAGTAAGTGCTTTATTTGTGGACAGGAGAAAAGGGAAGCAATTGGAGAGAAGGGGGGAAAGAATAGAAGAGAAGGAGAAAGGAGAAGAAAAATTATGCCTATTCTATTCTTTAAAATTGTTCCTTTTAATTTCATTTTTATAATTGCCTCTATTCTTGAGAATCTCACACATGCATATAATGAAAGATGATCATATCCACTCATTTGCTTCTTTCCAGCTTTTGCCATGACACCCTAACACATTTCCTCCCAAATTCATGTCTTCTTCTCCTTCCTTATATGCACAATATACTTCTTAAAAACTATAATAATGGGTGGAAACCATCAAAGGGAAGATTATACTGTCTTGTGGGTCTTTATTTTTTAGAAAAATGTTTTATTTTGGCTCACGGTTTCAGAGTTTTGTTTTTTAATCAACCATGGACAGAAGGAAGTGGCCAAACAGTCCAGTTCCTGATGGTTGCAGCTGCCTGTGGAAGAAGTTCTCCACACCATGGTGGACCAGGAATCAG